CGCCGCCCTGTGCCGCCCGGCCCCGCCGGCCTCCGCCCCCGTCCGCGCTCCGGGGCTCCTCCGCTGCGCGCCCCCTGGCGCCTCCGGGCCTCTCCACGCGAGTCCTCGTTCCCTGCGGTCAGGGGTGCCTGCGCAGACGGCGGCGCGAGCCCGACCCTTGCAGAACAGGGACCCGGGACCCCCCGGAAGCCACCGCCCCGGCGGCAGGAGCTCGGGCTGGGCCGGGTCCCCGCGAATCCCGGGGATCCGCTTTTCGCCTTCAGCACGGTTCTGCGTCTGGCCAGCGACTTGGCGAGGGAGGGGGGAGAGGAAGCCAGCGCTATGGACAGCTGGAGTCCGGCTGGACCGCGTGGCCTGCTAAAACCGGCCAGCTGTGCAGTGCATTCGGGAAGCTGAGTTCGCATTGGGATTGACCTTTCCAAAAGGTGCCTGTAGCCCCAGCACGGGACAGAGAAGGAAACGATGTACGGGGTGGCATCACCTTCTTTCCTTGACTCACAGACAAAACCTTATTTAAGGAATTCACTGAAAATGACCACACAAATGACCTTACCCAGTAGAGCTGTCTAAATTTGTTTTTCCACCCTTGGACTTGTAAAAACACAATTCTCACCTCAAAAGAAAAGTTTATTGAGGAGTTATTAAGTGACCATGGCCTAGGAACAGAGATTCAGGTCACTTCAGGTTCCATGTTCCAATGCGGAAGCAGTTTCATGAAGGTTTCATAGCCACAGAGGAAAGTCGTAAACCAAGGCACTTTTCAAGTGTATTGGTGACAACATTAAGTAGGCTTTATAGCGAAGTGGGATCTCAGCTGTAGACCTCGGAAGCTGTTTGATGACACTTGATACTTTCGTCTTCTGGTTGGTGGAAGCTAGGTTTTTTTTTTTAATTAATTATTTTTATTTCATGCATATGAGTGTATTGCCTTCAAGTATGTAGATGCACCCTGGTCATCCAGTGCCCTCTGACTTCAGAAGACGTTGGATCCCCTGGAACTGGTGTGTCTGTTGCTTGCCACCATGTGGGTGATGGAGACAGAACCTGGGTCCTCCGAAAGAGCAGATGGTGCTTTTAACTGCTGTGCCATCTCTCCAGACCTAGAAGCTAGGGTTCTAAGTTAATACAGTCCCCAGAGTTTTTATTTTTACACAATGCTAGGTCAGACATGGAGGTGGTTAAGGGTTGGCTATTTAGGCAGCTAAAGATAGACCAAGGTGAGCTGTACTTGGGCTTTGGACCTGCAACATTCCAAACTCTCCACAGTCATTGAAGGTCTAATCATTTAGTCAGCCTTGCAGAAGTTTCAGTGTGAAGATGGCAGGGTATTGGGGTTTTTTGTTCTATTTTTTTTCTGGGAACATTTGTTCCCAGACTTATATTTACAGTTTCTGAGCATGACTATTCAATGTAAGAATGACATAAAGGGGGCTGGAAAGATGGCTCAGTGGTTAAGAACACTTGCAGTTCTTCCAGAGGACCTGGGTTCGAGTCCCAACACCCACATAGCATCTAACAGCTGTCCACAACTCCATTTCCAGGGAACCTGACACCCTCTTCTGGCCCCTGCAGGCATGTTCAGCATGCAGGCAAAAATTATAAAAATTATTTAAAAATATTTTTTAAAACTTTTCCAAAAAGAATGACATATAAGAACTTTTCAATATACATGGACAGGCCTCACACAGGCCTGAGGAGCACACCACCATTGAGCCAGCCCACTCCAGATGTCCCCTGGTTTTCATAAGTGGCAGTGTGGGTGAACGCCTTTTCTGCAGTCTGAGGTCACAGAACTTCTAGTCTGACTCTGTTGCCCTCACGTGAACTGTAGGAACACAAATTCTTACTTGGTTTTTTGAATGCTGCCTAACAGCATTCTTTGCACTGTAAGACTTCAGACTCATAAACCAGAGGTAAAGAACTAGTGCCCGAGGCCCTTGGGTTCCCAGAGCATGTGCCTCTTGGCTGAGATCTTGGCTGAGAGTATGGATATTTTACTAAGCCCTTGAGAAACAATTTCTGCACTCAGGAAGGTGATGCAAATACTTGGGTCTATAAAATGGTGACTCAGATAAAGACCCTTGTGCCCAGTAGAGGCCGTTTGGAGCTGTCCTCTCAGGTTTGCCTAACAGGCTTGTTGCTCAATCAGGCCTCCACATCTGTAGTCAGCTGAGAGGCTTCTCCCAGGGCTAGATTGGGAGTTCCTGGGCTAGACCCTCTCCTAAGTTACTCAGCTCTTTTAAGGTGGAATTCTAAATAACCTGGGGGGTAGGCCTGCTTATTTAATGTGAGGAGGCAATCTTGAGAGAATCTTTAATAGATCCTGGGTCCTCTAAGGGCCTCTCCTACAGTGTGAGTGTAAGAAGTTTTGGAGCACAGCCTTCTGCCACGGACTTATGCCCTTGGTACAGAAAATGCACCTGGATTGTTTTTCATTGTTTTTTTGAATTTTTAGTTTCCTTATTTATAGTTTTTTACATTTTTATTCACTTATTTTGTATATGTGTGGATTGGTGCTCAAGGACCACTGCATGAGGATAGAGGTCAGAGGACAATTTGCAGAAATCAGTTCTGTCCTTTCACTCTGGATCCAGGGATCGAACTCAGGTGGTCAGGCTTAGTGGCAGACTCCTTTACCTACTGAGCCATTTCACCGACCCTAATTTTTAACTTCTGATACATAAAATTGTGTATATTTATAGAGTGCTATATAATGTTTCAATACATGAAAACATGTGTAATGTTCAAATCAGGGCAAATATACTTATCTCAACATTTCTTTATGATGAAAACATTCAAAATCCTTTAAGCTCATATATTAGCTATACACATATAGTTCTGATATATACGTCTATATCTCACTACCTATATTTACATATAAATCATTAGCAACTATCTGGACATATTAAGAACTTTATTTATGGGCCTGGAGATGGCTCAGTGGGTGAAGGCGCTTGCTGTCAAGCCTGATGATCAGAGTCAGTCCCCAGGACCCACATGGTGGAAGGAGAAAACCAGCTTCTGCAAGTTGTCCTCAGACCTCCACATACATGCAATGACAAGTATTGTTTCTGGAATTGGGGTCTCAAGTAGTCCAAGCTGGCCTTGGACTGGCTATGTAGCTAGAAGCTGACCTTGAATTCCTGATCCTCCTGTCTCTACCTTCCAAGTACTGAGTTATGGGTGTGCACTACTAAGCCTGGCTTGTTTTTGCTTTTATTAACATAAAAGCTATACAGGCACAAACCATGTATTTCAATCAAAAGAGGGGGTGCATTGGCTTTCCTTTGTTGTTATTGTTTGGTTTTATTGACAGGGTGTCTCTAGTCCCAGCCCACCTAGAAATCACTATGTGGACCAGGCTGGCCTCAGTCTCAAAGATCTGCCTGCCTGCCTGCCTGCCTCTGCCTCCTGAGGGCTGGGATTAAAGGCCCACACGACCACGCCCAGCACTGGCTTTCCTTTTAACGGTGGGGAAGGAAGGGATCATAGAAGATTGCAAAGAAGCCCCTGGAATAATTAGGAAGAGTTAACGTGGGGAGAAGAGGGCTGTTTGTCTACCAGGTGCATCCAAATTTTGTTTTTTTACCAGGTGCTAAAATTCAAAGTCATTCTTTGTACTTCCTCCATGGAAATGGTTCATTTGCTTTTTCTATTGTTTTTAAGACAGTATCTCATGCAGTCTAGATTAGCCTCAACTCCTTGTGCAGCCAAGGCTGACCCTCCTGCCCCCCCCCACCTCCAAATGCTGGGGTTACAGGTGTGTGCCTCCATGCCCAGCTGGAAATAGTTTATTTGAACTAAGACCGTCTTAGTCACCTTTAGCCTATCTTGTTACTTGCTAGAGAGATCTGATACTTCCTGTGGAAGCCCCAGAATATGTTCTGACTTCCTGTCTGCAGTCAGAACCAACCTCTGTCCACCAGAACTGTGTGAGGGCCAGGCTGCTCTCAGGTTATTTGGTCGGATTTGAGATTTTTGTGTCTGAGTGCTGACTTTCTAAGCACACTTCCAGTTGTTTTCCCTTGAAAGAAAAAGAAGCAGTTCAAAGTCCAGTTCTATATTAGTGATTACTCAGTGAGTTGCGTACTTGCCAGGAAACAGGGAAGGGCCCGTGAGCAGGTGTGGCAGGAAAGGCAAATAAGGGCTGTTCTTTTGTCAGACACAGTTTTTATCTGGGCAAATAGTGTGGTAAGGCTAGTTAGTTAAAAATTATAGAAACCGCATAAAATTAATGGCAATCCACAAACTATTCTCCTCTTCCCTGTTAAATTCTTTTTGTTGGGTGATGGTGGTGGTGGTGGTGTGTGTGTGTGTGTGGGTAGACACCTGTGGCAGTCAGAGGACAACCATGGGTACTGGTCTTGCCTTCCACCCTGTTAGAGCTGTCTCTTGTTTGCTACTTGATGGCCTGTGTGCCTCTCGGGCTTTTCCGTCTCCCACGTTCATCTCTGCATGCCAGGACTACAGGTGCACGCCTCTGGTTTTACGTAGGTTCTAGGAATTGGAACACTGGTCCTCGTGCTTGAACAGGAAGCCTTTTATCCACTGAGACATCTCCCAGCCTCTGCTCTGTAAACTCTTAATGGGAAAAGAAACTGAATACAGGGCTCTTTTTATCCGTCAGCCAGTTTACTGGCCTTAAATCATTTAAAAAATAGAAGTCACTGCACTTCCTCTACAGTTTCATGGTTGATGGTTCATGGTTGATGAAGGCCTTCCTGTGCATATTCTTGACTGAACAGGTAATGGGAGGATTTTGAATGTTTAGGAAGGTGTGCATAGTGAAATAGTGAAGAACATCAGGAATATTTCCATGCTATTTTAAACATTTCAAGGGTTTGCCTCTACATTCCTGTAAACTACCCTTTCCCTGGAGTAGCAGTCACATGCAGTCCCAGGTTAAATCCATGGCACGTGGAGTACAAGACCTTCCCAAAGGAAGACTGTTTTGAGTGGGAAAGGAACCGAAGCCCTGTCACCTTTAAGGAACGTAAGTTCTAGTAAAGTTTTGGTCTGAGCAAACATGCAGAGATGTGTTTGAGATTCTCCCTGAACTCAGCAACATGGGCCTGTGCTCGCCATGCCTGGTGTGGCCACCAGGTACATCAGTTACTGCAGAGCCGAGAAGAAGAGGTTGCCTGTTTCCCCGTCAGGGCAGTTAGGTGGGAACACATGGCGGCATCTCTGGAGTTGATCATTGCTGCGCATCCAAATGCTTGAAGAACACAGACAGCGTTCCTGGCAGGTGCCTCAGCAGTGAGCATCTTCACTTGCTAGGCGTCTCCGCTGTGTATTATGTTGCATGCAGTGTGTCATGTAATGCTTAATGAAAATTGAAAAGAAAATTGTTTAACGTTGCAAAAGCCTGTGGGTACTGCATACACGTGTTACTATCACACGG